TGTATTATTTAGTATATCGCATATCATTATTTTTTATTATTACACGTTTATTCTAAATATTACAATTATACATCTATCATAAGACATTAGTATTAGGCCTATTTACATTTTTAAACATTCTTAATCAAGTCTGTTAGGGATTTTCAAGAATTAGAATATAGTATAATAATAATATTTCAATCACACTATATTTGTCATATTCGTTGCCGATGACGCGTTTCATTCAATCCAGAGCTCATTACGTCTGCTGTGATAAACCAAATACAGCAGTGATCGGAACACTTTATATTAGTCATTTGATACAATAACAATTGTTACCGTGTGTACGACTTTTACAAGCTAGCATAAAATGATTACAATTATACTTGTCATAAGACATTACTATTAAGCCTGTGTTTTGCGTTGTTAGCTTAATATGTGTATTAAAACTAACCTAACTCTTTTACAATTTGCCGAACCTTGTGAGGTACTGGAATTATGGCCGAAAATATTAACAGTGATGGTACCTAATTAATGAAATAATGCAATCTAATCTTTATAAAATGAAACAAAATAAACTTAAATTTAATTAGCTGTACTGATTGCCATGTTGATTTTTAGTTTGTCTCTAAGTACATAATATGCTCTGATCGGAATTTAATACTGATCTTTTTTTAAACTTTGAACCACCAGAAATTAATCTTATTGGTTCTTTAACGTTTATATATTACAAATTACTTGACGGTTCATTTAACAAATATGCACTAAGTTCTTGCCCTGTGGATGCCTTTGACTGATGACCTGTGTAATCCCAGAAACGGTTCACTAAGTTTAACATTTCCATAATTCGAGTTAATTGATTATTTTTTTTCAACTTCATTAATGTACAGGTTGCATACACACCATCATAAATAAAAACCGGTTATGTTTTTACATTTGGATATTTCTTCCAACGTCGAAACCACTTATTTCTAATTTGTTATTTTGTGATATCTTCTCAGTTATATTTTGATGTTGATCTATAATTACAGTTTGTGATAAGCTTGTTGCTGCAACACAGTTCGAAATGAATATTTTTCCAGATCGAACACACGTGAGAAGTACGCAAACTCTTTTTCCCACCCCTCCCAACTAAGTGTATTCGTCCTAGTGACGTCTTTTGGTCCGGTTTATTGTGACCTCAGTTTTGGTAGGGAGAAAAAGTCTGCATGTCATCCTTCTTTTAAATCATTTCCAACTCACGGTAGTGTAGAGATTGATCAAACTTTACTCTCTCCCGTTTAGAATCAGTAGTAGTAGTAAAGAAGGCCACTAATTTTCGTAATTGTGCGTTTTTACACACTAAATTGCGCCCCATTAAATAATTTCAATAAAATATTTTATTTCCTGCCTCTCCTAGCTCCAGGCCAATACTTTATAATATTATATTTAAGTTTGATGTATAATGTTGCTGCATCGATATAAATGATATATACTGAAATTATATGGATCCCACCCAGACGACCCGCACCACAGTTTCGAAACTTCTAGATCCACTACTGGAGGAGGAGACGCATTTTTGGTTTCTGTTAAAGTAAATATGAATTCTTGAAAGAGAACATGTTTCACACATTTTCTGAGTATATTTGTAATAGAATGTAACATGTCCTGATGATTTTTTATTATTTATTTTTTTAAACTAAGACCTCAGTAAGAGGGTTTAAATTGAGTATGTGTGTTTGATACTGTTAGAACTGTTACAAAAATGCACGCACTTTATATTAGTGGGGAGAAAATTTTTCATTGATCTACATTTATGGTTAATTAAGGTTAAGATATATATTTAGAATTATTTTAAAAAAGTATATTTGACAAATTCGTGTAAGATCCTGTGTGATGGGATATGTAGTCTGAGAAAAGTGTTTTCGTTGTTTTTAATGTGGCGTGTTGTAATTGAAGACATTTTTCGAATTATTAGACCTCCCAGTGGTTTTATGGTAAGCTTCTGGGACCTATAATGCTAAAATCTAGTGCTCTATCCCCGCGGTGGACACAGCGAATATAGCCTTGCACTAAAATAGAGTGGAATTATTATAAAGTAACATTTGTTGACAAAGTGTATTGTTGTAAAATAATTAAACGATATGTCTTTGTTGGATATACAAGACTGTTTAGTTTTTTAGTTATTATTTAGTTTATTTGGTGATTTAATATTTAATGATTATTTAATTTTCATAACAAGAGAGTTAAATGTAATTATTTTAAAGGCAATAGCTATGAGAAGTTTGGTTGGATAACTCCTAAGAGTCGCATGCTGTTTCTGTGTGATTCAATTGTTGTAGTATTGTTGACGCTAAGTTACTCGAATCTTCCATTATTTTCTGGTTATTTTAAGTGAGTATTGTTACGTTATAGCATCCATCGCTCGCATAGTTTATAGAAAGTTCGAGGCCTCAGTGAGTAGTATATAAAAATATGAGAACAAGTGAGCCCAATTCAAGTTCAGTCATAAAACAAAATTAGAAAACGTGACGTTAGCCAGCGTGTAAGTGATTAGCCATAACGGAGGGTTATAATTTAAAGTGAGTTTCACAATTTAATAGAGATAAGGAGAACAATTTGACTTGTCAAAAGGTGTTATAAAGTAATTGAACCCGTCTGTGTGGACTTTGACGAAAGGAGACACATATTTAAAGTTCTGGATACAACTTTGGTAACCCACGGGGAATTTTTCGAAGATTGTATAGTAAGAAACAGAATAGAGAAAAATAATTCGTCTTGTCAATTGAATTCTAAAGTCATTGAATCAACCTGTGTGGACTTTTGACAAGGAAAGAGAATTATGTAGAGTTTTAGATACAACTGTAATATCCTATAGTGTAAAGATTTTCTCTACATACGTGTGACTTGTTTTGAATATATCAGTTTAAACAAGTGGATTGTGTGCTGTCCGTTTATTGTTCGAATTTATCGCCAACAAATCACAGACACCTACTATATAAGAATCCCAGCCCACACACATACATAAAACCTGACAGTCCTGTGATGGTTTTTTGGTGTAAATGACAAGTGTACCTTATCTGTATCAGCCTGGTTATCGTTTCCTTTTCTGACAACCTCTTGCCCCCACCTGTAAAATAATGAACACAACTCTTTATTTATTCAGTCAACATGTGTACATGAATTTTTCATTCAATTCACAATCTCACACTACTTTACTCCCATTGGAAAAGTTTCTGCTGACGTGCATGCGGACGTAATTAAGTACTTTCGAATGGTCATAATTATAGAAAATAACGTCAAACGTTTTAAAAATAAAGTTACGATCGATGCTATAGATCACGTGTAGATATTATGAAACTACCCTCGTCTTGAATTCGTTTATAAGGGGATCTGGTTTCAGGTCAGAATTGTTGACAGGGTACGTTTTATGACTGTATTTGTCGTGTACTGATCAAGTTACAGCCAGTGAGTTAAGACTAAGCCCTCAAAATATATGTTGCGTCAAATCATCTTCAATTGTTACTGGATTACTCCTTTTTTCCCGTCAAGGTTCTGATTGCATGTCATTTTGAACACCATTAACTATGTGTATACTGGACACAGGCACGACGTTTGTTATATGATACATGTTTGATTATCATCTCTATCAGAAGTGTTTAATTCCGAAGTTGAGTTTATTTGTAAATAACAGAGGAAAGAAAACTTATTCACCTGTTGTTGTTTTTCTTTTCATGTTTTGAATTCGTTATTTGTGTTAGAAAATAACAGAAAAAATGTTTTATTGGAAGAAGTGCTACGTATT